GTTCCAATATCCTCATTTCTCAGTTCGAAAAGGATGAGTCCGGTCTCCCCTCCTCAACGGCGTAAAGCATCGTGATCGGCAAAGTGACATCGCTTTCCAGGAACCATCAATCGCCGATCTTCTGTCTCGCTTTGTTGGAAATATTGCATTCTCAAAACATTATGCATTCACTCCGTGTCCCTCTTTGTCGGCACAGAGGAAGTGGATGTTTACAACCCAAATGTATATCCTTGTTTTTCGTTTACCCTCCTACCAAACCGACTGCTTTTAACACAAATGAACCATTCTTCGGATCATATATTGGCTTATTTTCGAGTAGCGACCTGAGGCTATGCCTGTGAGTCTTCAATGGCACCTCTATAATGCGTGCATGTTCCACAAGACAAAATAATTTTTGCGCACTCATCACCAGTCTTGAATTCGCAGTTGCGTAAAAATTTGGATTTGCACACCCCCTTTTTACCTCCTCTATGTTACATTGAGGTGTACAGTTAAATATACACTTATCGTGATTAAAAATCAAAAAAGGAAGCTGAGTGTAACCCATTCACTCAGAGCGAATACTTGCGCTAATGATCTGGCCTACTTCTCGCTGGTATTTCTCTTTTGGAATCAGCCAATTTCTGGATATTCTTTGAGCAACTGGGCTGGGGTGCAAAGGCTACGTAATTAGCAATTCGAAAGAAACTTTGATTGATAGTTGAACGGGTTGCTAGTCCTCCACTTGACGCAAGGTAATATCATAGATCAGTCCTTGAAACAGTAACGGTAGGTGGATTAATGGGGTCCAAATTTAGCTTTAATTCCCAACTAATTCAATTCTTTTCGTACTGCTGATACTCCTAATGAAATTGCCTGCTGCATTGCCTAGTTGGGAAAACACTTTTAATTAGCATCATGGGCTCTTCACTTAAGTGCTGACAAGGCTGTGCACAGACAAATGGAAGGACAGAAATGTAGTTCAAGGTGAAAGTTTCACGCCCATACTAAGACGAGATTATCGAGTGTGACTGATCATTGTTTGTGAAGGAGGGTGTGAGTGAGCACGGTCAATACAGCCACGACAAAACTAACGAAACCACGTTATTTTGACTGTATTTGTGGTGTCATGATTAGACTGATTTTGAAGCTGGTGCATGATTTGACGCCTAGGATTCTATGCGTCCTGATAAGGAAGTAAGAGAAGGAGGTGCTTCCTAATCTTCATCTTTATTCCTCTTAGTGATCAACATTTGTCGTAGAGAGTTCCAATTTATTGGTCATTACGAGATAGAGTGGGCAGTAGGACAATGAAGATGTAAAGAAAAACCGAAAGGCATAAAGCCAAATGTTTCATTGTCGATGTTGAATGGCAG